AAAGGTAAAATGATAACGAATGCAGTCTAAGTACTTTTATTTGTTTATTGCAGGATTACAGTAGAGGGTATAGACGTCAACGTTTTCACTGTTAATCTAATGGAGAATCATGACTTGTATTTAAGGAAGAATAAAGATAATACAACTGCAATGAGCCTCCGTTATACTCAATAGTTTGGTAAATCCCCAAGATGCTTATTTTCGCCATCCACAGCTTCATATATGACTTTACATACATGTATACCTTAAAAAAATTTAACCCCCTAAATATTTTTTTCTGGAGCGTACCTGATGTTAATATTTTCATCTGATCTCGTGGGAAAATGAGCTCTGTTTTAATGACTGGCCAGTCATTTTAAACTTAAATAAACCTTTATAAATAATATCAAAGGTCGAGTCCAAGTGCAGAGGGGGACAGATAAATGATTAGTGCGTATCAGAAGATTGCTTATCATCCCAGTTAAAATCCATTTTGGCTGGTAAATCTCATGGAGTGTACCCTTAAAATCAAGTCCAATGTTAAAGTCATTGGCCAGTTTTCGGAATCATGAAGAATATTTCAGAAATCTTGGGTCCAGATGGTGATCTGGATCATGGATCACCACCAATATATAATCACTTTTAGGTTATCCCATTTGTGATCTATCCTTCCAATTTTATCAAAATCTTTTTCATAATGTTTCGAGTTACATTTAGGCTGAAGGACAGAAAGACAGACAAACGGAGGTGAAAACATGACCTTCTTGGCGGGGTTAATGAAAAATTGCCAAACATCAAGGAGTGGAGTCATGCTTAGGTTTTATGACAACATATCTTTTCAGGAGCAATTAGATACCACCTACACTTCGGTGAATTCAGCCTGGAGAGTGCATGGAAGTGTAATGGGGACTACGTCAAAATTACATCTGGTGTCCGATCTCTTGGACGTATTTGCGGCACTGAAGCAGCCAACACAACGTACACCTGCGACACGGACAGTATTGAGGTGGAATTCGTCTCTGACAGCAGTATCCAACGTTCCGGGTTTTCTTTGAGATACAGTGCTGAAATAGGGTTAACAACAATAGGATCTGGGATAGAAGCTACAACGCAATACTACAACAATGGGAGTGGCCTCACAGCAGCTGAAGTCTCAGTCACCCCTGCGGGTTTATGCTCAGAGAGCAGTTTTACTGGGAGCTATGGGTACATAGTGGTTAACCTAGAAAATGCCCCAACACAGTGTCGGTTTCACGTTCATATACCAGGTGTATATTTCATGTCATGATGAATAAGCCGTCTTATAATTTTCGTTTTATTAGTCATCCTTTATTCTCTTCTCAAAGTTGAAAGTTTTTTTCCAACGGAAATAGTCATCAGACTATTCTTCAGCTTCAAAAGTGTAAGCAATTTATTATCATTATTTAATAAATTTTGTTCATTTATTTTTATTTTTGATTGTTTTCAAAATTATTATATTGCAGGTTAGCTTCTTTACCCTGAATATCTACTAACCTTATCCACAATGTCTGTTTTAGGAACAACATCAATCCAACTACGATTGCTGAATTCTTCTGTACAAAACTGTTCCTTGGCTCTCATTGTTCAAACAGCAGAACGTCATCATTACGTCAACGTCACCTGTGGCGACTCCCTCAACATACCCGGTAACAACGTCAGTCTAACAGTGCATGCTGGGGAGGTGAATGATTCGGTGACGGTTTCTGCTTTGCAGCTGCCAATAAAAGCCACGCTGGAATATACGGCAGTTTCGTCTCATGAACTCTGTGGACAAACGCGTTTTACAAAACCAACGGGGGTCATACAGTCTCCGTGGTTTGATTTCGGGACGTATCCCTCAAATTTGAATTGTACTTACACCATCAATGTGACAAGTAAGTAATAAAAAATAAACAACAAACGCAGTACAAAGAGCAATACTAAATTATGGTTTTGGGGAAATCGTGAAGTAGAGCTTATCAATAAGCGTCCCTGTTCTTCTTTCTCTCTTATACCTGAGTGTTTTACAAGTCGTTAAAGTGATGCCACTTTGTCAAATGTGCATATAGGCCTTACCATGTTTTTCAAAGGTTTTATGCACACTTTTATGCTGTTTCATTTCTAGCAGCCACAAGCATCATATTGCGCTTCATTAATTTCGAACTTGAGCCGGATGTGCATTGTCAGTACGACTACCTAGAAATCTTGGGACAGAAATACTGCGGAAATAAATCACCCAACGCATCTGTTCTCTTCATCTCCCCTGTAGTAATTAGCTTCGTGAGTGACGAGTCTTCATACAGAAGCGGATTTAAACTGTATTACAGTGTGCAAGCACCAAAGATTGAACACGTGACGTCCCCTATGACGTCACCAACTTCAGAAGCGACGGAGACAAGTTCTGCTGCCTCTACCGATTATGAGCCTGAAGTTACAACTGATTACAATACGGTGAACGTGGGCGGCTCTACCAAGCTGAATGAGTCAACGCAAGAAGGCACTGATTATACCACGCCAACAACGTCCGAAAACCTAGCGAACACAGCACCCTCTTCTACAAATAGCATGAGAGTTACAACGCCAGAAATCGCTACCATTACGACCGCAATCCCAGAAGAAACACGGAGCAGTATCACCAGTACGAAATTAGTGCCAACTACCAACATGCCTGAAACAACGAAAGGTTCTTCTATTGATGCTTCTTCTGTTTCCACCATGAAAGATCGCACGTCTACCAAAAACCGCAGCACGTTGACAACGACAATGGGTACAGTGGTCATTTCTACAGGACCTAGGATTTCGACTGCCGTGTCATCCCCGGTCGTGTCAACACCTAGTCCATTTACAACAATCGTGATCTCGAGTAAAGCATCTTTCATGACTACAGCTTTTCTTTCCAGTATGAGGGCGCCATCTACATCAGTGCTGTCATCTGCTAAGTCAACCCCGGGAGTTACGAGTACAACAGCGACCATCCCCACTAGTACCAAATTGACCACTAGTATCAAACCGACCACTAGTACCAAATTGACCACTAGTATCAAACCGACCACTAGTACCAAATTGACCACTAGTATCAAACCGACCACTAGTACCAAATTGACCACTAGTATCAAACCGACCACTAGTACCAAATTGACCACTAGTATCAAACCGACCACTAGTACCAAATCTTCAACATCACCACGATTAAAAACTTCGTCAACACTGTCACGTTCTACAACTACTATCGCAAGAACCATATGGCATAGGACCACCACTCCCATATCTTCCTCTCCACCACCAACTAAAAAGGCCACGGGAACAAATGTGGTCGGGCAGAGTCAGTTTATGAAGAGTCTCTTGGCCAAAACTGGAATTAACATCGGAGACTGGATGTTGATTTTATTTATCGCGGTGGGCGTGGTGATACTAATACAGATGGTCATTATCGTCCTTTTTGTCAAGCAAAGGTAATGCTTGGTATCAGCATACACTATTTTCCCTATAAATGGCACCTTAGCACAAAAACGACCCTACATTTTAACGAAATGTTGGCTCTATAGTCCCTCATATGCCAAATTGAGACAAAAATATGAAAATTAAATAAGGCTATATTATGAAATACTTCAGGGTATATAACCTTAAACTAGTTAAATGATAATTTTTGTACTGAGCTTCATAACAACAATGTGCACCAATCCTCAAATTTAATCGGTCGCTTTTTATTGACTGGATTGTCTTTTCAACTGTTTCATCTTTTACATTTTTAAGCGGCTTACAATTTGAATATGTATAAGAAAAAACTACTTTACGAGTGTGTTCCTATATTTTAATAGGTCATTTTGCAACTTTCGCCAAAGGTGCAAAAACGAATATTGATACTTTAAGCTCTTATGATACAAAATACTGATAGATTAAAGTGTTCTGTATATTATTTCAGGGGTAACAGCGAAAAGCCCGCACCGGAAGCAAACAGCGACGGAAGATACAGCTCTTTGAGGGAAGAGGGCACCTGTGAGATTGGTCAAAACGTTACTGAAGGTGGCGACACAGGCGGGAACAACCAAGCTATGACAATTGAAAATCCTCTTTTCGAAGTTGACGATTGTACAGCATAGTTAAGGTTATGTCGATGTAGGGGACCACTTTTTCCTAAGAATCTATCGTCCATGATAGCCTGGTTTATCTTTTTGTTCCCCCTTATTCATAAAAAATAAGGGCTACGCTTATACTAAGATATTTTAGTATTTAAATTTAAGTGACCTTTTTGGGAAATGCCTTCAATTGTTTGCGGTTAATGACGTGTTGGCAAAATGACCGATAGCTAAAGTTTACTGAATACGTATCAAACGATTGACGCTATCATTTTACAATCACCTAAAAGTATTTTTAATTGTAAATCATCAGATGTTAAACATTGAAAACATTGCGACTGCACGTAGGCCTTCTTTTAATTATGACGTTTGAATTCTTACAAAGACGATCGAGATGTTGAAGCAATAATCTGCGCTTTTCTATTTTGGTCAGTTACTGTCGAATGCAAATGACTGTAATTACGATCAACATAACTGAGAGGAAACACTGGTTCCGATTGTTATTGTGCGTGCTTAATAGACTGTAAGGTACATCAACTATTAAACACAATTTACAATCACGATATTAGTAAACAAGCGCACATCTTGCTGTTGCTTATAAATATAAAAAATACACAAAGGAACTTCTCTGGAATATGGAAATGCCGCACCTTTACATGAATTTACAAAAATAAAAAGTAATTACAGATTTAAACTTCCCATCTTTTTGCAGAGATATCAAAAGCGGTTACAATAGTCATTTGGTCCTCCTAGCCTTTCTTGAAGTGTTCCAATTTACAAGCCATCAAGTAGAGCATGCGCACGTGTGCGACTATACCGAGCAAAAGATGGAAAATATGATCTTCCATTGAATGCAGCAGCCCCCATCCCCACCCACAGATGTCGATAGACCTTGCATATGAACGTATATGTATATATTAAACTACATATAAAGTATTATGCATTTTAAGCTTCAACATCAGCCATAGGTGTACAAGGTCGAGAGTTCAGTGAAATGTAACTTCCCTGGATTTCAGGGTTTCCAAGACGCCACGTTGCGATACTTTCGCGCAGCTGATTGTTTGGTGTCAAGTTCGTATCTGCCATAGCATTTGCTGTAACAGGGGAAATCCTGCTCCCACTTAGCCAGTGTGTTATAGCCGCTCTGTCGTATGTGATACCATCGCTCGCGATTACAGGGTCTTTCATTAGATCTCCTTTGATTGGACACAAAAATTGTTTAGGGATGTCATGTCCAGGGGTTCCGCCATGTTGACGAATATGTATATCTGGTAGGTCAGAAACGCCACTCCTTTCATTATTGTCCCCAGAAAATGCTACATTACACACACGGTCATTGCGTTGTGGAAAATTAGTTGCAGCAGGGGGTGTCTGCGTGCAGAAGTTTTCTATGGTATCTGACTCTCGTTTAGGGTTGCCATCCCGATGAAAACTGGCGGAATGATCTTGACCTTGCAGAATGACGTAACCGTTGTCGAGATCCGTGTATACGTGGTCTTCAGCGGCTTTAAAAGAGAGACTGCTATATGGAGGCGGGGCTTGAGACGTCACTGGGGGCGGGGCAAGTTGACTGGCAGAACTGCACGCAGCCGGTGGTCTTACTTCATTGTTGCGTAGATTACGCAGACTGCTGAACCTATCACTTACGAGCAAATAATAATAATAATAATAATAATAATAATAATAATAATGGTGGAGAGGGCGAACGAAACAATTAACAACAGTTCACACGAATGACAGCTAGCGACGTCATTACAAACTAAAGAAGATTTCTGTTTCAGTATATCAAAAACATTAGATTATGTCAGAAAGAAACGCGCTTTGATAACATTAGCTTGCTTCAATTTTTTACTCGTCTATTTTGGTCAATATACATACCGACTGTTCCGCTCTCTCTTCATCTTACAAAAACAAAACAACCCGTATGCTATACTCCCTGCTGCTGCCAGCACAACTACAGGGACCACTACGGCCACCACTACCGTGTCAGCTCTATAACCAACAGTACCTAAAAATATCCCATTGATCATTACATCACGTGACCACCACGTGGCCGACATACCACGTGACTTATACTCGGAATTACGTTAACCGCGCTTGGTTCACATCAGGCTGTCAGATAAAGAAAATAATGAAAATGAAAGTCAAAACGTAGAAGAAAGTTTTAAAATATTAAATTAATTCCGAGTCATGGTTTGATTGACAGTTCTGTAGTGTACATGGTCATCAGTGATTGGATTACTCACTGGCATTTAAAATTTAAGCCTGATGATGTTAGAAGAAAAGGGACATATACTGATATAGAGCGTTTTATATGTCGTTGTGCTGTCTGTAACCAACCGGAAAAAGAGCAGCTAAACCTACCTGCTGGGGCACGTTGCCTTGGTGTCGTTGTCGTGGTTGAAGTGGTTGTATCTGAAAAATGATTTTCACCTTATTTATTCATGACATATGTTGAGCGCATGTTGGGATGTAAGTTTCACCTCTCTCTCTCTCTCTCTCTCTCTCTCTCTCTCTCTCTCTCATTAACCAGAATAACCAAAGTGGCAGACTCTCCTGCTGAGTTGCCATGTGGGATAAATTGCACTAAAATATGATGTATAATATAAAACAAGGCAACCTATATTTTGTTTGTCGTTATGTATTTAAAATACTAGAAATCTATTGTAGACTGGCCTATTCATTTTCTGACATTATCTGAATTATCATCATATCCGTTCATTAATGTTTGAGTTAAGCTCTTAAATAATAATAAAATAACAAAAAAAGCTAAAATAATGGTCTTGGCTTAGATACTAAGGGACGCGCTGGACAATTAACTGTGATAAAGTGCTGAAATGCAAAATGCAAATAAGCAAACTATATGCTTACGTTGTTAAGATTATATCAATATATCAAAGCCACTCGATTACATTTAGAAAAATTCCCAAACAGTCCGTGTATATTGCCCTGAGAGGATGTCTCATTAATTATTTAATGACCAAGAATATTCATGAACGATTCCAACACAAGGACACCGAAAAGGGATAAAATAATTATATGTACCATGCTTGTAGTAAGGGGTATCAAATGTAAGAACGAAACGAGCTAGAAGAGGAGTTCACACGCATTGTGTTCATTTCTTACACTCATATTGTTAGAAAAAACGACAACAACGAGATAACAAAGTTTAAATGTGGATAACAATGCCAAATACTCAGACAAATTCGCATTTTAACTCATTATCTGCTCGTCCTTAAAAGTTCTGGTGTTTAAGCGCATAAATAGAAAAACACATGAGTAAATGAAATAAAAAGACTTAAATAAATTAAAAAAAATCATTTTTAAACTTGGGGGATCAAATACATGCACCTGCATCATTTTGATTCAGTTTTATACTTACAAGGTGGAACAGCTCTGTACCATAAGCGAAAACCCATTGCACCCATTGATGCATCACTTGAGAACTCCACCAATATGATATTAGCATTGACATGGAGCTTACCTTAATTCAATTAAAAGGAATTATCAATAATACGTATTTGTCGAACATCATCAAATGCATACTCATTAGAAAAATATGATTAAAATACATAAAAAGAGAAAACAAAACTCCCAACTTAAGATTTGGACAGATGTCAAAATCCCCTATGTCCTAAATAAGTATCATGAACATACTTATGTCTAATTTCTTGAAATGGAAAGGGATAGCTTTTTAAATTCAAAATAATTTTTTATCTATTGGATATTCAGCTTAATACTAAAGAAAACTGTTTTACAAAAACAGCTAAACGGACGGTATTATGTGTACCTTCCTAAGCATATCTCAAGCGATTGTCTTTTTTAAACAACGACAAAAAACTTTCGTAATATTGTAAGGGAAAAGACAGAAACTTACTGTTCGGTAGTCGACCTGCAAGATTTCTAAGGAGAGTAACGGAACCCTCCAACTCCTTGAACAATTTGACAGAATCGCAACATGACTCTGTCACCGAATCAACTGTGAAATCAATATAAATAGAAATGTCAATCTAACAATCTGTCCGTCCATTCAACCTCTGCTCCAAAAAATGTCAAGAATCCCTAAACCTTTTTTAATGCAGAATGACAGGTGGATGAAAAATAATAAGTCCATGTAGAGCATAAACGACTCGATTATTACCAAGGCAACGCTAATTCAGCTATTAACATTTACTTGGTATCATATATATTTATAATAATAATAATAATAATAATGATTATATTAATAATTATATAAAAATATTAAATAATAAATAGGCACGCAAACAGAAAAATATTTGTGTCAGTTGAAACCTAAGATATTAGAATGCACCCACCATCAAACTGCAGGTTAATGGTGTATCCCACGGGCACAACAATTGCCCATTTGCAGAGAACGTTGTTGTCATAGTACTTTCTTCTGAAAAGCGGCGTCTGTAGCCAGCCCATACTGCCGTTCCCGCTTGACGTTCCGCCATCGGAACCGCAACCTTAAACAAAAATAACAATAATAATAATAATAGATAAAAATTTTTTTTTAAATCGTCAGTCTTATCTTTTTTTATCTAATATGTCATTGTGAGTCCACCTTTTTTGTAGTTACGCCAACCTTCGGGATCTATTTCAAAAGTCAGAATAATTTGATAAAACAGGAATCTGTACTTTACCTTAGGAAACTTTGTAAACACAGAAAAACATTTTAACAAACAGGCATTCCGCATCAAAGTGAATCATCAAATATACGCGTTTTCACAAGATAATCTCCAAAGAATCAAAGCAGGCACTTGTCTTTTAAAAGCGTTTGTCTTTTAAAAATTACTGTATCGTATACTATTCTTGAACGGTCCTTTACTCCTGGTAGCGTATAGACGGCTAAACTTACCGCCTGACACTCCTAGTGCGGATGTGTCTTTCTCAGGTGATAGTGGCTGTCTGTAGCATATAAAACCTCTGAACTGCATACATTGGTCCACCATTCGAATCCAACCATGGTGGGGACACTGGCTGAGGCGAGTCTCATTACCTTTAATTTGAAAACCACGAGGTATGATTAAAGGGGAATATAGTGATGACAGCCTGTGCATTACAGCATAGTTTACAGATGTGACGTAGAGAGTGTTCATTTATATGACGTCACGGGTATATTACCCCCTGCTTTAACCTCTTATTATATAACTATATGGTGTATAAAAGTAGTCTTTTACACCTGACGGAAGTATATCATAAACCAGTAATTTTACTACACAGAGCATGCATGGGTTACAATTTTGACGACATTATTGTTCAGTTATATGACGTCACGAGTACATTTACCTCTTATAAGGTCACAAAAAGCCAGTACAAGCCAGTAAAATTGTTCCGTCAAGCAAGATAGCATAACACATGATCACAAACTATCAAAAAGTTTTTTTGTATACCAGTCTCGGGGTGATGTATATTAGTTTGTACTGTGAACATGCATGTATTTCAGAAAGTGGGTCGATATTTTTCCTCAATAAACAACAAATAAAAGCTCTAGATACAGCGTACCTGTGCAATCTGCCTTTGTTATGTACACATCGGCCGAAGGAGCAACAGGGAAAGAGTGGAAGGCGAGAAACTTTGCATAACCCCTTTCTTTGCAGACGACAGCCGCCATGTTCTCGTTAAACCTCTCTGTGCACGCAGTGTGCCATTGCCCCCGTTCAAATACCTCTAACACCCCTTCAAAACTGTCTGCTATCTGGCCATCGTTTAGGCGTGTGCTATTGGGAAAATGGCGGCCTATAAAAAAACAATTAAAACTGAGAGTTACAGCTCTACGTGTAATTTGGTTATCAAGATTATAAAAAAGAAAAATGAAACACTGTCTGTGCGTAATTTAGCATACGTTAAATAATGTCGTGATGTATAAGGGGCAACCGATAGCGGCATCAACTCCTTCTCGTCGTGGACTTAGTAGGATACAACATAGGCACATGTGCAATAATTAAGACCATGCATTTTATTATCTACTGGTATTATGCAATTACCTTCACAAACAATTCCAACATGGGGACACCAGGAAAACTGGGAGTGACTTGTGGGTGGACTGCAATCAAGTATGCTGTTCTCTAAACCGGCACAGCGAAGCTGAAGTTTTGGGTTTTGGCATAGTCAATCCATTTAAATCCACATGTGTAACAGCTATAAATTATGTTAAGTCTACATATACGTGCTTATTCGGACTTGATTTTCTTTTCAGTTATATTTCCAAGAAACGGTTCTAAAATATTATTTTTTATAGATGTTAGTTTGACATTCCACGTTGCATAAAGAGGACTGTCTTGGGAAATACCGAAAAATGATATGAAGAGCAATATCAGAGTGAAGTGTCCTATAAATTGTAACCACATACCTCTTGGAAATGAACAACCGCTGTCCCTTGTCCAAACTCTGTGGTCAGTTCCTCAGACGCAAAAGCAAACCCTAACTGGGTGCAGGCGACTTGGGCGTTTGCTGCCCTATAAGCGGTCCAGATGTTGGAACACATCTAGGATAAAGCAAATAGTGCATTTAATGATTATTTATTTTGTCTTTGCATATTGCACGCTATCAATATTCTTCGGGGAATTTTGATGAAAATGCAGTTTAGTGAGCCAGAACTCAGGTGTGGGTATGACGCAAATGACCAGTGGATAGCTCATGTTCAAGGTCAAGGAGGTTTGGAAATGTTAAAGCTTGAAGTCACTGAAAAACTTAACTGAGACTATGCTTTAAGTTCATAGGTAATGAATCATTTACTCTAGGAGATTTTCATACACGTTTAGTTTGCTTACAGAGTTCCATAGTCCATTAAGGTAAATCTCTAGTCTCCCGGCGTTTAATGTATTTCCTCCTACCAGCCTTAAGGAGCCGACCAGTGGCAAGGTATCCTTGTCACAAGACAGCCAAAGAGCCTGCAAAATTTAAATTATAACTAGTGCTGGAGTGGACCCGTTTAATAAAATAATTTAAATCGAAAATCAGTCTTAGTTAAAAAGGTTAAGAATCTTAGGATACTTACTTTTACCTTACCCGTTTTACTTGATTTAAAAACTCAGCCAATACACCAAATTCCTTGAATATTTTTATTCACAGTGTCAGCTAGGGCCTTCTTCATAATAACAACTTCATTCTTTAGACCAACAGCACAAAGTCACTTTAATTTTGAACGTGACTCTCGATTACGCGAAGCATGGATGTTATATCATTGGCACCTATCTCATTTATCTGTATACAGGACCCTGTGTGGTTTAGAAAATATTGCAAGATGTTCATGAGAACAAAATCTGCTCTTGGCACATTCTAATTATGCTAAGTGAATGTTGCCAACGCCATATGCAAATTTAATTATAATGGAGTCTACACTGTGTATGGTACAATGTAAGGCGTGGGTTGGAAGGGGTGATTGATTGTTCATTATCTTTCTTTCTTTCCTTGTTTCTTTTTGAGAAATTTGACTGATTGCTACCAATATCAAAAGCATTTAAAATGTTTTAGAGTATTTGTATGTATGGGTTGAGGTTCTATGTGGCGTTCTCAAGTGAACATAACGTTCATTTGTGAAACTCCCGTGTTTAAGGCATATTTTTCAAAAAAGGTTACGTACAGAACTATCAAAGCAGGTTACTGATGGACTTCCGTATGGATCGTGTCTGCATTCTGTTATCGCTCTTTCATTACCCACACATAAAAGCCCGGAGAGGACAGCACCGTCAGAGGGGACGCTTCTCCCCGCCAAGACAACCCCATTCCTGTGTCCAAGTTGCCGGCAGACGACAAGTGCAACGTTGGTAACGATGTTAATGTCTCTTGACCCTGCACAGACGACACCCCATTTTCCACCATAGTGCACTTCCAAACGCCCTCTAGTGAATGTTTCCCCGTGCGATAATCGCACCATTCCAACTGATCCTGCAGTGTCACAGACGACTCCTGCGTCTTCACTGTGGGTTGTGTAATCACATGTCCTGGCGTTCCAACCTATAAATATCCAATTACCTATTAATTCTTTTACACGTTTATTTAATTAAATAATTTTCTCATATATAATAATTTTCATTCATTGTCCTTAAAAGTCTGCAGTATGAATGAATCCACAACCACCTTTTTCCAATCGAAAGCAGTTGCGAGATATTGGTACACTGAAAACAAATCATCTAGAACCCGCACTACATGTAAAACACAAAATGTAAGCACAGTATTTTTATATTGTGGGAAATATCAAAATTATGAAACCCTATGCATAGAGCATTCCAAACCTAGCATTCGCTCATAATGTCTTTCAGTATATTTCCAGCAAACACAGAACTTTATTATAACGTTACCATATCGTTTATATACCCCCAAAAAACATTATGGTAACGTTATGGTAACGTTCTGTGTTCGCTGGGTTATGCCTACCTGAATGGGTACACGCTCTGATAAAAAGCTCCTGTCCTGAGCACTGCAGTTCAGACAGCCATACATTACCTCTTCCAGGACCGTAAAAACTGTTTAATTTGGGGAACACGGCGCCAATGTAACCTGCAAGACATAAAACGATAATGAAATAATATAAATGTATTCATAAGAAATAAGTACTTGGCAAGCGCCCGGGGAGAGAGAAAGAGGGAATGCACTGCCTTCGTTTCGCTCGAGGAGGAAATTGGTTATGCCTTTCACGTGGAGTGCAGTACAATTTACTGAAACATTTTACGAACTGTAATTTTCTACTAATATTACTGTTTTGTTCAAAATATTATACATATCCGGTAGCAGACCCAGGGTTTTGCAAATGGGATGGGCAAAAATGAAAGTAAACGACAGATAATTTTTACAACAATAATATGAAGAGCATAAGGGCGCATAATCGCTTGGTTTTGTATTGCTTTGTTTGTTATACTATGTATGAATCTATTTCATTTTTTTTGTCGTGGAAGGGGGGAAGAGAAGGAGAGGAGGAAAAGGGTACATCAGACAGACAGGCACATAGCTGCTCACTCCTAACCTGACTCTGCCTTTGCATTAGGTATATGTAGTTTCCTTCATTATTATAGCAAAATAACTTCATTATTTACCCAATTCTCTACACACTACTTCTGCATCAGCCTGGTCGAAACCGTCATCACAGACGGTACCCCAGCTCCCGTCATGATAGATCTCTATTCTCCCGGCATTAGACACGGGGCCTCCTCGGAGTCGGATATATCCCTTGGGGCGGACCTCTGTACCTGGAAGTCAAAATATTACACATACTGATATACCACAAAGTGTATGCGTCATTGATGTGGCTTAAAATTCATTGTTTTTGTGGAATAACCATGTACTATTGTCAATATTAGGTAGGGGGATCTCTTTACAGATGTTTTTTTGATAATAGCGGTTTGGTCATGATATTAAGTTTTCCTACCTGCAGCAAGTGTACATCCAGGGGTGAAAGATACGTCATCGACAGCTATATCACTCCGCGGAAACCCCGTCACTGTACCAACTAACAGGACCTTTTTTGCAAGAATGAAAAAGAACGGACATTTATTTTGAAATATAAACACTTTTCCGGCATTATTTATCATTAAGCCTGTTGACATCACATCCAAATATCATGCATCACAAACAAGCGAAACGAGACACTACTATGAAATATTTCCATCCCTGCGCCCCACGTTTAACTAAAACTGCACGTCATTTTTTTTAAAATTTAGACCTTTATTTATGTGCCCTCCGCAAACCTCTGACTCCACTAATTATGAGAACATAACAACTTACCCGGAACCGTGCAATACCGGTAGTTCTTAGATCCACGGCAGCAAAGTGCCACCTGTCCCCTTGGTTCCCGGCCATGCTCCACTTCTGGACTACTTGAGTAAGACGGTCTCTGTTTTGTACACTGACGCTTAGGTTCCCCATGTTGTTTCCATACATGTGGTAAAAGAAGCGCATCTGTAAACGGGAAGACTGTCACGTACATATATGTAGAATATGCGTTGTTGGCTGGGAAAGCGGCTGAACAAGTTTTGTACCTTAGATAATCATTGTTGTTTCTGTGCCTGTGTTCAGATCGATTCCAACTACACCATTGTTCACTTGTATGCCTTTAACTGATTTAGTAGTTCTCTTAATTCTAAATAATTAAAATTGCCGATATCAGTGGTAGCCAAGGAACAATAAATCCGAGAACGCTGAGACAGATTATTTCAATCGTCTGAACAGAGTTCATTTATTATGAATGCATTGTAAAAAATTGGACACGTCTCCAGATATACAGTTATCGACTTTGGTTGATGTCAATATTTTTGCTGACCTTAAAAAATGATATCGACCGCGGCGCAAAATAACATATTGACCAAAAGCCAAAGCTAATTATTGTATCATTACATAATTTAATATAATCTGAGGTAAGCAAAACAACACATTGACAGAAAGAAAAAATTAATAATTGTTTTCAAATAATGCCGTTTAATAGCTAACAGAATATAACTGAAGCAAATGAAAAATAATTGTATATACACTGTATTACAAAACTATATATATATATATATATATATATATATATATATATATATATATATACGAAGTCATCTTCGAGACGAACAAGTAATATCAGACCTTTTTGGACAAGAAATAAACGTATACTCACCTTGCACAGACCGCTAACAGTGAATATTTGGCTCCTCAGGACGGCTCTATTGCCACTTTGACGAGGAACTGAAGCCTCCGTGTAAATATATTTTCCTAAAATGTGATGTTAAATTGTGTCAATATCGCAAACAATATTTACTGTCCTTTGCAGAAAAAGATAATAACATAGGAATTAAAAAACTTTGCCAAATTGTATTTTCTTTCCGTTGATCATGTTTACGTTGATCATATAGGCCTAATTGTTTAAATCTCCGAGAGAGAGAGAGAGAGAGAGAGAGAGAGAGAGAGAGACGCAACGTCACTAATAAGTTAAAATTGTAACTCCAGTATAACATTTTAAAAGACTTTAAACCCTTTAAGAGAAATGCGACTGGATGGCTAGGATACATACTATAAAACTATAACTGCATTAAATCTACTCGATGCATACATCCATACCCTTGCACAAATGGGTAGAAATGCCTCGTTAGTAGAGTACAGCTTTAGCATCTTTGGAAACCGAGTTACGTCTCGATGTTAATCACACAAGGAGCAATGGAAAACTTACTACACTCAAAAATATTTCTCGGTCACACTATAATTTAAGGTATACGCTACCATATACATAGGTGCAAGAGATGGAAGGTATTTTCATTCAGATGTTACAAGACGGAACGTAATTATGCCATAACAATGATGGAAAACTAGACAGACAGGTAAATAGATAGATACTGTAGATATGTTTAGACTCACGTGTAAATATAGATATTGATATGTGAATACATGTATATATCTATGGAAATTAAATATCACAAGACATTTCTCTGCACTATATAATATAATATAATATAATATAATATACCCTGGTTGTTCATCAGAGTGTGATCGTAGCTAGGTCCTGTGTAGACTGTTGATGTGGCCCAGGAGTGCCGAGTCCAGTCAAAATTATCCTGGCTTACAGCGTTTGACCAGCCACAGAAATCAGTTTGAAAGTCACATCTTAACCCTTAAGCAGAGAATAATAGTTCCCAAGAGTAAATTGTTTGATGATTATTATTTCAATGTTTCAAGGTTTTTCTTAATATTTTAGTATCTCGGTCTGTTTTTTTACTTATTAATTTACAACCTGTCAAAGTTAGTATATAGTCAAGTATATAAGAATATATACTTACATAGTCAAGTATATTAGTATATGTGTTTGAGAGAGAGAGAGAGAGAGAGAGAGAGAGAGAGAGCGTAAGGCGGGCCACTCACATCCAGCGCAGTTTGCCTCATCAGAGTCGTCAATACAGTCTTTATCATAGTTACAGATTTTATCCTCGGAAATGCATTCCCCGCTACCACATCTGAAGTCTCGGGCAGAACACGTGGGTGGAGGCAAGGCTAAAAAAGTGAACAAATATGATATACAATTTTTAATTAGATATTTTTGGTATTTGGGGTTTATGAATCTGCTTACTGGGCAAATGGGCTCACTTGCAAAAGTGCCTCAAAAAGGTAAGATGGCTACCACCTATTATGAACAAAACTTAACCACTTTTGAAGGACATTATGCTTTATGTTTTAAGGTAATTTTGCGACACTACGGCCTTTAATTACACAGGTACATACCTGGACATGATTATAATGTAAGAAAATCAATTATTTGCGTAAATGGATTCTCTATAATTTTGAGAAACATGAAATTCACCAAGTCATCCGGTACAGGGATGGAGTCGTATTGAAAATAATGTTGCATAATAAATGTTGTAGCAAACTTCAACATGGTATTCTAAGTTCGGGAGACTTAAGATAATTGGTGTACCTAGCCTGCATTCAGGAGACAGCGTAATGTCATCCAGGTAAATGCCTCTACTTGCTGTGCCTAGAGCGCCATCTATGATCACGACAGTACTCTGAGGTAAAGGAATAAAAAAGAATGTTAGGTACAGCAAATGTTAGATAATTGCGAAGACAAAGTGTTCAAAAATAATATTTGCTAGTCAGATAAAGGTTTAATGAACATAGGGTACCTTTAATATACAAATGCATACATACCGGAGTAGCCCAATCATAATGTGCAGGGAATATATTGACCCTGACAAATGCCCATTCCCCACGCTTTACCGTATGTCCATACGGTACAGGATAGGTCAAGGCATCCGTGCGCTTGACCCTTATTGTGATGCGATCTGATACTGCAGTTTTGAACCAGTAGAAGGACAACTGGAAGAGTATAATAGCATGATATTTCTAGATAAATATTTATATTTAAAACAGAAATACAGACTGATACGGCGTTAACCTTTAAAGCACCAGCATATTTTCTGAATTTCACATTAGATATTTTGAAGCAAAATGTCAGTATTGAATTGGATATATCCAAGTATATTATTTGGCTAATAAAAAGCTAACTCCCGAGTCCAAAATGACATTTTAGAGACATTGTCAACTGCTTCGAAAATAATTCTCACCGTGCAGGAAGATGGAATTATTCTCTGAGACAAAGCGATTGAACCGGTCTCTTTGGCATTGCCTTGAAGCGTGAGGTAATAGCTATCTGGAAAAGATAATTTACAATCGGATCAAAAGATGCAAGCTGACTTTTTTGTCGCATTCAGAACAGATGATCCGTGGACTAACGTATTCGCCAACTAAAAATGGTCGACTCCATTTAAAAGCAAGTCGCCTAGTTACCTGGTGGCCTCCCTACCTCCACACGCGCCATTAAATGGATTAAACCTTGGCTCCAGGGTTTATATGCTAGGCCCCTGCGACGACGGCACGTTTGAAGGCGGGAGACACCATCAGGGGATTAGTCGACGTTGCTTTAAGTGGGTTGGCCATATTAAGCCCGCAGTTCTGTTAGTCCGCGCATCAACTTGCTCTGAATGTGTTCTTTATCATAAGCAGCTGCTTTAAAAAGAATAAGAAACATTTACAAATTTGATGCAAATAAACACAACAAAAGTAAATAAGGTATAGGTGTGTTCGATTGTATGCTAATATCCGGACAGTCGGTCTGTAAGACACACACACACTCTCTCTCTCTCTCTCTCTCTCTCGCTCTCAACCTACATCTGTCTCCGCCATGATCACCTCTCGGGCCCTGCTGAGCAGATAGGTCACCACGTACTCTCGTCCAGTTTAACTTTTCATTGGCAAGGTTCAACCAGTTACAAAAGTCTGTTTCAAAGTCGCATCGCCCTGCGTAACTCGCTATGACGAACAAACATAAATTAATGTGATAGAATGGTACGTAATTGTGAAGTTCAAAATTTTAAATTAAAATCACTGTTGGGAAACATCCAATCAAATGGGTTGCTTTCACCTGACATATTTGTTACTCACCTTTTCATAAAAACCTAAAGTATAAGTAAGACACTTAAAACACATATGTTATAACCTGGGTAATGTAACTACCATGATACTGAAGCAATTGGAGCGAACACATTTAAGTGTATGTGCAACACCCTCCATAACAAGTCTTATGACTTACAACAATTCCTCTCGTCTGATTTGTCCCCGCAGTGATCAGTGAAGTCGCAGACATCCTGTAGAGGAATACACCTCTCATTGTCACATGTGAACTCGTTATAGTGGCACCGTCTCTTGTAGTCTATAATGAAGAAATTTCATTTTCGAGTACACATCAGGATACGCTCATTTATTAAAATGACATACTTAATACGAATTTCCTACCAATAGCAACTGTGCACGAAATAATAATAATAATAATAATAATAATAATAATAATAATAATAATAATAATGACTATTATCTACCTGAACAGGCCAGGAACACTACGTCAGCAGGGTTATTAGTGCACGTGACTGCCGTGACAGGGCAGCCAGACAGAGCAGTTTCCGTCCCAGTGCAACGCGGGGCATGTGTCAAAGGCTGAGGCAAACTTCCTGAAACACCAATAGGTGTCACCACCGTCCCTGTATAGAAGCCTAAGGCACCACATGTGACATTAGTGTTGGCTTGCGTCCAGCCAGCTTTACAGACGGTTCCCCAGCTTCCACTTGAATAAATCTCCAGACTTCCAGACGATAGGTCGTTGTCATACGAAAGTCGAACTGCGTTCTCAACTCAAAGGTAATATATAAAAGCATTGTGAAGGTAACCAATTTATATAATGCTTAGGAGTTACGAAATATTGCCATTTTTATTGCAAGAATATTATGTTTTAGTAATAAAGGGTTGTCCTACTGCATATTTGTACTTAAATTTACACACTGTTGTCAGAGTTTTGTATGTTGATCAATTTCGTTATCTTAAACGACAGAAATGAAGTAACAACTAGAAGAAAGAAAACAAAAACAAACACAAATCTGTAGATAAAATGAAAGAAACAAAAATGTCACTTCAAACAAACGTAGGTGAAAAAAAAATCCAGAAGATTATCAACTAGGTTGCCCAATTCTTATACAATTCTTATACAAGTAATCTTAACTATACCGGGTCTATATAGGACTGGTATTCCTACCTTCAGGTATACATTCAGGTGAGAAAGCGATGTCATCAACCGCTATGTCTCCTTTGTAACCTGTACCCACCACGGCCTCTATAATTATCTAAAAGTAGAAGGTAAATTTAATAGCTCTCTCATACATTTGTACATATATCAATTTATTAAAAACGCATATTTGCAAACATGTTTGTTTAGATGAATTTTGTCTAACAGTTGTGTTCAAAAAGAAAAAAAAATGCGTTTAGCGTTGCCGTCCGCACAAAAGAACACCATTGGACGAAACGATTTTTTAACGATTGTTATCCTTACTGATATATTGGCTATGTTGGGTATGGTCACTTCTCCTTTGACCCATCTTTGCTGTCGGTTGGTCCGGCGCAGGTATATGTATTCGACTCCGTTGGCAACAACGTACACATTCAGCTGGTTGGTGTCCTCTCCGTAGATGTAATAATAGAATGTCATCTAAATTAAGGAAGAAATATGAAAACTTGGTCTTGAGTTTTCAAAAAAAAAAAAAAAAAAATGTTTGGTTTACTTCCTTCTTTACAGGCCAATGGGAGAAGAAATATAAAATTTGGAAATAGTAAAAATGTCATATTAAATTACCCACATACCATTTATAGGAGAATTTGCGATCTTCTCAACATAAACTCCTGCTAGTGTCGTGCAAGACAGTTTTAGGAGTTCTGTAAACGTTGATTCTTTATTTGAATTTACGTAATTCAGGTATTTGTAGGCCTATGTCATTTTGATAAAATCCAAACATGTACATCATACATGTAATATGCAACATGTATATGCCTGTACCAGTATAAACCATTTAATTAACTCGTGGTTACTTTTCTTCACGACAAGGCTTTTAAGACTTCTTCTTCTATTAAAAAACTTACGACTCCATGTGCAAATTGAAAAAAAAAAAAAAATGCCAAAGCGGTCATATATAAGTGCTCGAATAAAAGTAGATCCATTTAACACGGATCGGGTTGCCCCGACATAACACTTCAACAAGATGTACCCATGCAGTGGGACAGGAATGGTAGTCCGCTAGGAACCGTAGTAGTTCTCCATTACTCTGTACAGGTGACATTCGTCCAATATACTAACCCCAATATTCCGACTAACCCTAATCTGTACTAATCAAATGGGACCCCGGGCTTCCATTTCTAGGGTTACCATTCCTGTCACACCGGTTTTATGTCGATTGGTGCATCACCAACGAAAACTTCCGCAAATACAGCTATAAGCAAACTTGTGAAAGGGCGTTAAACACCACAAAACGTGCTAGCGTTCCATTCCTAGAACTACTCTTCCTGTCACGCCAACAGGAGCTCCTTACCTTACATACGGTTGTCATGGATGGGGTGAAGAATGCACTCTTTATTCTCACTTTTTCTCCGTAATTTTTCTGAGATGTCTCTAAGTATATGTAATGTCCGGAGGCTGGAAGGGTTAATGAAAAATACATGTATATAAAAAGTAAAATGGAAAATGTGGTAGTGGAGACACACAACCATACAGTAATTGAGATTTCAATACGTTCCCCCCTTAATGTTCTTTATCAACCTGCTTGATCTTTTCTCATTCGTACATTTGAAGCGCTGTGTCCAAAGGCTTTCTTAGATATGCATTTTTTCAATCTTTAGCTAATCCATTCAAAGATCATTACTGCCTCTTGATCCTCTGGGAGGGATTAATTGTCTTCAGCCTGATTTGTTTTCTGTCTTGAAAATGACACTAAAAAGACATCAGCCATGTCAGCGTGCCTGCAGTCACTATTGAACACTGCACTATTGCACATTGTTTATCTATCTGTGCTATGAACATTGAACTTGTCAATAGCATCGAATAAAAACAGTTACCGTATTAGAGAAATATCAAAAAGTCTTTGTCGCTACCGCCTTTGCTAGCTATAAGCGCGAGAAATGCCCACTCCCCGCTCACACGCCGCGGGGAGGCATGCATTAGCTGAAAATAGTCTAGAGGATTCATGTTAATTCACCGTATAGATCTTGGTGAAAAAAAAATGTAATATTGATGCACCTTGGAAGATCTACATTATAGTTGTAAAATACAATCCGAGCATTTACAAGGTGCATCAATATATATACTTCTATAAAAATAGCCTAGTTACGCTTCCTCATTCGAAATTAGGTGTAGCTACATGACGGTTAGACTTCATGGAATATTTTCTTTGTCTGTTTGATTTCCGTTATATATACCTGTATGATGTTAAAAAGCATTTTTATTTCGAGGTGCTTGTGGAAAAAAATAATTCATCCCTGCACTTTAATTGCGAAGCTTTTGAGATTAAAATCGTGCAGCATTCAACAATAACCAAACAGTAATTAAGTTGCACTGTAATATATTTTCAGTTTAAGATTCAGTACTACACTGTTTTGTCTATAATATACACTGCCGTCAGATGTCTCTGCTGTATACATATAAGCTGAAGCAAAATCATGACTGTTATCCAAGGGTTTTCTTAATGCATTAACATGGAATCTTGTTCAACTTTCCGAAAAGTATCTACGAGATACGCAAATGGCCCTCAACCAGTCTTTGATATATAAGACACTGGTCAATAGTATTAGTTGCCTAATCAGTAATTGCTGTCAGTATTATCAGTGTGCAAATTTACTGATTAATTATTAAACCGGGCACTGCAAACATTTCGTCTTTTTTTATCTTATTTAAAATGAATTGTTCTTGGATACTACTAATCGAGTTTGTTTCAGACTTATTAGTTTTGATAAACTTATTACAAATTTTTAATTTCTTTTTGCGATTATTATAAATCATTAAGGCTGGCATATGAGCGTCTACAAATATGGCGTGTAGGATCTCACACACAAATTTACAATGAGTCACACGTCCAGGAAACAGAAAGCAGGGAAATGTATATGCCGTCGCCATGGGCCTGGTGAACAAGGAAGTTACCGGCAAAACTGATAAAGAGTAAATATTGTGTGTCCAGACATAAAGCTTTTAAATGTACTGACATCGGTCACATACTCTGACGCTCAGGTAAAAAAGGGTGTTGGCAAGCAATTTTGGAAGTTATATTTTATACACAGCTGTGGTTACATTATCTTATATTAGGCTGTGACTTGATTCTGTGTATCCAATTTATTCCTTAATGACATAGACAGAAATCGAGAAGAGAGGTCACAGCTTATAATAGTGCTCGTGATTTGAAAGCAACTTATCAAAATGCCTTTTACAATATAATAAAATTAAAGGGACCTGTTATAAACAAACATCAGACATGGTGCGAATAATTTTCCAAACACATGCAAACCCATCTGACTTGCCGTTTTTCTATAGGGTTCCACCAATATTTCACACTGTACGCTCGCCCTCAATCTTTCTTAAATAAATGTTTCACCGCACGTGCTGCGCTTACCGTTTTGATAAGTGTGATCAGCCATAGGTCCAGTATCGAGGGAAGGCGTGTGACCCTGTCTAATCTTCCAGTCAAAGTTGTCATTATGCATCTGTACCCACGTACACAACATACCAGACTCAAAGGAACACGGAGGGGGGATCACAGCGTCTGGGAATGGAAATTTAAATATATATCATTGGTTAAAAGCATAAAGAGACTAATGATTTTGGCACTTATGCAGTATTCTTTCCAACTTGCAGGTCTTTGACATTCAATACCTTTTTTAAATTTTGGTTTTAAATGCGGTGCGTGACTATGATAATGCCTCTGCAATTAAAATTAATTTGGTTATCAATTTACTTACTTTCAATGTTTTACTAGAAACTTCAGGGTCATTTAAATTTTATGAAATTCGAGGACATCGCAGGGATGAAAATGTGTTTCAATCTCATTGGTCGAGTTTAAAAGTTCAATTTCATTGAAACTTAAGTGAAAAAAAAATTAGTGAGTAAATGTCCAAGCTAATTTATTTGAATCACAGAGACATCCACCAAAGCCACCAAATAAATTTTAATTTAAAAATTAAAATTAAAATTTTGGTGAACATTAAAAATCACTGTAATGTACGATAATTTAAATAAATCTCTATAATTTAAATATTTCAATATAGTTGCTTCTTATTACTAATTAATAATCTGCTCACTTCCTTCTATTATTTCAATAATGAAGGGAGGAGTTTTAATTCACTTAAGTATAACAGACTACTTAACACTTCCGACTGAAGTTATGAAGTCACTTCGATCATTTCAAAGTAGTAGTTTAGGAAACGGTTAAAAATACACTTAAGCGTAATTTTTGCGAAGGTAATACTTAATTAAACACAGACTAGATAATGGTGGTGGATATTTTGTACTCTCCTCATTCCATTCATTCGTTTCACATAGATTCGCTTCAAAATAACAGTCAACTGTTTTCCTCAATACATCGATATATGTTAATATGTAACAACCTCCCTGCATGACGCAGGGTTAATTTGATAAAACTAACGATACTGTAGCAATACGCTGAGCAAAGTAGGCCAGCTGGGTCTAAATCTTGTTGTACATGTATAAAACTTGACAGACTGACAGCGGCTATCCTTTCAGCTATTGATTGAACGGTTATTAGATCGTTAATGAGATTTACGTCCTATGTGTATCCTACATTCCTTCATCCATTTATTCATTATAGTGCAATGTGATGCTTTGCTTAAGAAGCACCCAACCTTCGGGCCTATAAGACATTTAATGTGTATAATTGCAAACGTTTTTGACTTAAAATGTCACTCGGAACGGAGTGCTACATGTATTCAAAGCTTATCACTTACCTGCTGTAAGCAAGGTCAGTGACACTAACACCGACCGGACCAGATTAGGTTTAACTCTATTCTGTAACATTTCTCTTTTGTAAGGTAAGAATGACTTTAAACTTAAAATCCACACTGAAAATTTACATGTACTGAACATTTGCCCTCAGGAGAGATACCGGATCTGTCCGTTTACTGTTGACACAGTTTTGCTATCAGCTGTGCAGGTTTTACATGAAGCACAATGTTTGCGTTGCGTAGAGTTACCCTGTGATAAGCATGATTGATGTCGTTTAAGGTCAGAAAAAGCGGGGGCTTCGAAGATAAGATTGAACCGCACTATTTTTATACCAATTTTCCTCTAAATTCCGCAAATTCTCGCTTGATTTTATGCTACATGTATGTCGCCAGACTGTGAGTAATCTTGGACGATTCTTACATGTTTTACAGGTCGAAACAAGAACTCATATGTAATACTGATAATCTTTAATATTTTTTTGTGATATCCTTCATCTTTCTTAATTATTATCCGTATTGTGCAATTGTGTGTTTGATATAGGAACTATGAAAAATTAGCCATAAAATGTCATTTTATTTTGACAGACATGTAGTCCTACAGCATTACATTCGAAAATAGCTTTCATATATTTACGCTGTATTACGTTAAGTAAACTTTACGTACTTCGTACGCATATCTAAAAAAAACTTTTTAGTCACTGGCATCATGAATAAAGGATTGTATACAATAGCTTTTACGATTAAATTCAAAATTTCCTAAATAGGAAACAAAACGTATGTCTGTCTGTATTCAGATCTGTCACAATATTTGACTGTCTTTAAACGGCGAATGTTTTTCTCTGGCGGAGATTATCTGCCGCCCGCTAGAGGGCAGGGTTCGCACTCACAGCACACCTCTGCCAAGACGTGCCACACGAAGGGTTTGTGACGAGGACATTGGACGAGGACTCTGTATTCAACATGCTGGGATGGAAGGCAGCGCGATCGGCATTCCGCCTTGCAGATCTCCCTGAAAAAAATTTCTTATGATTTCAGAACCAATTTACGTCTTTAACCGAATATGTTAAGCATTTTTTATTATAACTTATTATAATATACGTTCATGCAAGTATAGAACATTTGAGCCAATGATTAGTCGTTCTCACTTGAATAAAATAAGAAAACAAACACATACATGTATTGATATAAAGATTTATTAAGTTTCCGTCAATTTGAAATCCAATTGCATTCTGTACATAAAAATTCAAATGAAATCAAAATTGAACTTACCCGGAACAAACCACTTGTGGCAGGTGATACATAGACGGACACACAACGTCGCACCTCCCTATTTTCGGTACATTGATTTTCCTAACCGGTACATACTTTTCCTCACACTCATCTTTAGGGCAGTAAGGTCTGTGAACGAAAATAGCACATGCGATATAAGCGCAACTGAGGGCAAATAGTAACGATACGTTATTTGAGCAATTTATTATCGTTTCAGTGACTTTTTCCGACTCTCTATGCTTCCTTCGTGTTTAAATATACAACGTAAGATGTTTTAACATAGAAGGAAAAAGCACCGTTCGCAATGGCAATCTTTCCCTAAACAGATTTAGGTGAGTCGCCCCTGAGACTCCACATACAAGAAAATTGCTTGTGTGAATTATTCACAAGCAGTATTTGGGTAAATTATATTTTTCGACAAAAACTATTAGAAATCACATTAAAAAGGATTACTTGCTAAGCTAATTTATAATCTATTTAAATTTAATAGAACTCAGGTCCGGGGGAGGAGGTGGGTTAAATAGGTCTCTATGAAATTCTGAAATTTGTGTTCGGACAATTAACAACACAAAGTTAACCATGGAATTCGTGTACTTACGAAAAAGGAAAAATCCCATATCTTCGGAGTTCTTCGCTAAAACAGATGCATTATCATTTTAAGCAAAAAAGTCCATCAGACGCTAGTTATATGGTATGATCCTTATTTACTAAAATGTATGTCATGTTTAATAGGCCGTTTCTTACTAATTTATGTTTAAATTCTTCATAACAGTATTGTTTAACTACGATAACGTTTGAAGTTTCTGTTGATTCTTCGTGTAACAAATGACAAATCTATGTTGCACTTACTAGCAATCCTGGGACAGATCGGGGACATTGCCGTCACACGGGTGACTTGGGACATCCTGACCAGGTTTAGTAGGACTCTGTCCGGAGGACGTTCTGGGCGTAGTGGAGGTGCTTTGTGTAGTAGTCGTGGTCTGTTTCGTCACAGGCTTAAATAACCAGTCCCATGGGTTGTTCCCTCCGCCCGAGCCGCCGTGCCCCCAGTCCCACTGCGCAGCAACGCCAGCACAGGATACAATGAGGAAAACCAAGACGACCTGCAGGTATGATGCATATTGTTCATGTAACTTCAGTTCAGCAGAAGCGTTTAATAATCATAATGGCAAAGACCGTTATTGGTTTTAGCACATTGTTTTCAAACTGCTATGGTCAAACAATAATTTACAGACATCTCATAAATGACCTATTATATATATATATATATATATATATATATATATATATATATATATATATATGGTAAGAGAGAGTAAGAAGAACCTTATACACATCACACAACAATTAGTAAATATTTCAATGTAGGAAATATTCAGATGCGTGCGTATCTGCGTCCATGTGAGTCTCTCTGGCTGTCTGGCTGTCTGTGTGTCTGTCTGTCTGTCTCAGAAGTGCATCCGTTCTTTCACCAACCTTCATTTTGCCGAGCTCTCTCTAGCTGAAATCACCAATGGGGGCAGAAATGCCTGTCTGTCCTTTTCGATAACTGTACTTAAATAATTACCTGCTTCACGGATGACCGATCCACCCGAAACACTTCCCCGTATTTTACTCTTCAAATAATCGTTTAGAGATGCATTTTCACTTGTCCCGTTTTAAACTTTAAAGCCAATAAAGTGAATTAAAAGTCGTAGTAAAATATCCAAGTTACTGTTGTATATCCTTGCAGGGGGGCTTGGGAGGCATAAAAACTACGCCGCTGTCTCCGAGGCAAGTAAATGACCATGACTTGGCGTATTAAAGACGTTTGAGACAGTGGACCCCTAGAGGATAGTTAATATGGCTAAATTTATAACGCCCCTAGATCCGTTTATTTACCGTGCCGCTTCCTTAATTCAGACTCAGAAATTATCAAATAAATGTGAGACGAAGAATTTTTATATACGGTGTGTGCATTAAGGGATTTAAATAGACATTGCATATGTTTTCGCCCGTTAATGTACCGTCAGGTTAAGGATATAAGCCGCCAAATCCTCGGTATATGACTGCTACAGTGTATGTCTTTGATCTTGTTTCCTTGTCGGTTGAAATAATCCCGAACCGTTTCCTCAATTACAACTCGGTTTAAATTGTTTTTCATTATCAAATGCGTTTTCTATAACATAGACCGATTTAATTAACAGATACGATGGTAAGCGAGTGTGCGTCAACATGACTGCCGCATGGACAACGAGTTTCCAGGCTCCAGAACAGTTCATAGCAGTGAGATTTGGTTGTTTGAAGTGCCTTCTTGCTGCCCGGTGAGACATGGAATTTCCTAACCCGTCTTTAGGACAAAATCAGCCTAGCTTCTGTAGCCAAGAAAGAGGCAGTGTGTGTGTGTGTGTGTGTGTATGTGTGTGTGGTGGGGGTGGGGTGGGGGAGGAGGGGGAGAAACGTATCTCCAACATTTATATTTTTACCGTTTGTGACGACGTGCACCATTTCAAATAGGGGAAAGTGGTGTGTTCTAATATTTTCTACCGTAAACCTGTCTCTACGTGCAGTTATTATGAAGGCAGTCGTGAGTACGAGTCATGAAGTCAGATACACGTCTACATGTATAGACTAATGGGTAACATTTGAAAAATAAAAATAACTAATAGATTGAAAAAATGAACAAATTTAACTTGGCAAGAAATTAGCAAATCAGATTCGTCATCTATTTTATAAGTTCAAAATTGAGTTACGGTTTTGAATCATTCAGACGACAGTATGAATAAATAATATTAAAAAAGCAGACGACAGGCTAGAGAGTTCTGGGAGGCACCCCATATGCTGTCTTACCATATCGAGCCTTATGCCAGGACGGCGTGATAAGACCTAAGTCATATTTACACGACAAGGAAGTACCGTTTACTTTGTCCGACTGCAATGATAAAAACGCGCCAGCAGTGACAGAGATGATAGACACAGAGAGATAAATAAACATTTGGTGACTTAAACGTGTAACTGCGTCCATACCCCATCAGAAGGGTGCCAGGAGTTGTAGTTCAAGTAATGCCTACTCTCAATCTGGAAAGTTAAACTTAAATTCGAATTATGAGGACTTCTCTTGGTTTAGTGATTCTATGTGCTTTTTTAGTGGGTGAGTACCACGAATTTTAGACAATGAATTTAATATAAATGATTTCCAAGGTTTTGTGAAAGAAAGATGTTTTTTTAAATGAAAAAATCTCACACATGTTGTCGGCATTTGTGTTATTAAAAAGGAAAAGACAAACAGCTTAAAATCTCCAGGTAACGATGAAATATCTTTTGCGCAGTTCTTGATTTCGTCCACATGTTTAGTTTTATATCAACAGGTTTGTTTTGACGTGTTTCAAGCACATGTCAAGCACCCGGGCTTGCGACGGCTTGGAGAGATAATTTTTGCCCTCTCCCCTCCTTTCAGATTGGGGGCTGGAGAATGGAATTATTTGATAGTGAATATCAAATTCCTACATCCGTGTTAATAAATTGTAAACGCAGCGTTCTTTACTTTTGTTATAAATTTTTAAGCGTGGGCGAAAATTGTTATCCAAACAATTGCAAGTCCGGTGTAACGAGTTTCAGATACGCCTTAGGGTTTCGTTGGAGGACGCGTGTAGTTGTTGTTTGAAAGGTCGTTAACTGTATTTTCGTGGTTTTAAAAATATTTGAAACTCAAGTGTACGACTACAGAAGCAATATTTACCGCCTTCTTGCAGGTATCACTTTCGGTGCTGTCACCTTGGATTGCGACCCATGTGAGAACACGTGTCACGTGGAGCTGTACAACGGTGACCGATACCACACTCACAAGCCCACACCCAACCAGCCATTCTTATGTGACGATGCGTTCATAGACGGGCTATGGTACCGTTTCATTGGTAAAGCTGGCAGTAAGTTGGCGGACCATCGGGTAAAACCCTTCAGTTGCGGTACTATGGTACCCGTGTATCTTGAAGGGCAACACCCTCAAGACTATACGGAGACTACACAGAAAGTAGGTATTGATCTCGGGCCATATTCTCCATAATTTCACCTGTCCATATGCATTAATTTTTGCCATCGTGTGGACGCCGTGATGTCATTTCGACTTGATGGGTTGATCCTGCATTTTACAGTGCAGGATTGCTGATTTACCTTTTTTATTAAAGATATTTAGGAAACAGTCACACACTTTTTGGTTTATAATTGCGTATTTTCTTTACTTTCAGGTGTGCGTTAACTACGGTTTAGCTCCGTGCTTTCAGTCCTGGGACATTAAAGTCAAACGCTGTCACCTGAACAATGAGGATTATTACGTATATCAACTTCCACCGACTCCAGGCTGTAACGTGGCCTACTGCGGCGCAGGTAAGTGAAGGTTAAAACCGGTTAGCGTTTTTGTTTTGAGTATAGGGCACTGAAGTATCATTTTCACGTGCGCAATAATACCTCGGCTGTTGCGAAGTTATTGCGCAACGTACCCTTTTCTGGGGACATTATTATCATTGCCAAAACTATCGACACCGTCTTTCTCGTTTGCCCTGTTTGAGCCTATCTACACGGAAGCGAACAAAAAAACAGCTTTTCTGCCCTACTTCGGTGACTGCATAAAAAAATATTGTCACTTTTGCGCCCTGTTACTTTATACGTAGGCGAGAAGCTATTGCGTTTCCCATTAGGACCAATTTACACTTCGTACAGTTAGTACTAATTGAAATGAGAAACAATGAAACTGTTTCAGTAATCCACTTTATACTTCGTGTGGGGTTTTGTGATAACAAGCAATTAAGACTGTGCTGTTTGTCATTGAAAAATGACATTGTGAACATTTCGAGCACCTGTCCTTTCCTGCGGTTATAAAGGTTATTCAATGCAGTTTGGTTAGGTCTTATTATTAGCTAAATTTTGAAACTATTTACTATGTCATAGAATTGGATAGTCGCGAAATTTGTATATTTCCCTTTTCTTAACTTCATAACGTGCCAAATGCCCTTTAATGTGTTAAATATTTTCGCTTCTGTTTTGTTCAACTTCACAACGGTTTAAATTCATTTAAACTTGATTGACCTTGAATTTTCTAGGAGAACAAGTGGAACGATGTCCTACAGGAGAATTTAAGTTAAATGGAAGATGTGTCAGTAAGTTCATCTTAATTCAATGGTCCTTTTAAAGTGTTAATAAATATAACTATTTATCACCCATTTTCTTTCTTTCTGTGTTTGTGTTCTTGCGTGCTCGAGCACGCGCGCGTGTGTGATCCTGCAAACTGAAACAGCCAATTGATGCGTGAATCCTACTGTTTGAATCTTCCATATGTTTTTTTTTTCACAGCTAAGTTGCCTGTCATCTCTATCACCAACGTCATCATTGAGACTCCAGTCGTGGAAGAACGACAGGTGATCATATCGTGCCGTGTGACATACAACGTGCCCGCTGGCACGCGTGATGAAGGCGACGTCAAGATACGTGTCAGTTATCTCGCGGACAATGTCCTCATCGACGACGACGTGACCACGGGAGCCAGGGGGAGAGCCTCAAGGCAGCTGAGAATTGCGAATCTCACAGGGAATCTTGGCAAATTCGTGAGTTTGCGAACGTGTTATTTCTGGTGGACAATAGAAATATGTCTAAATATTATCAGTTGTTATGTAGCAAAACCTATCGCCCACACTGATTTTAGAACAGCATAATTTAACATCACTAGAAATATATATTGGTAACACGTGTTAATTACATGATATAAGTTTAGACATGTATGTGAGACATACATATTGAATCTCTAGATTTATATTAGATAAACTCAAAAATTGCCTCTCAAGTTTCAAATTTCGGCTAGTACTGAACGATTCCATTCAAAGTTATTGATTTTTTAATACCATTGTGCTCTGAGCACTGTATTCATTGAAAATAGAAACATATGTCGATTGAATTTTTTTAATGTTTAATCTGTATTCTGTCAAAAGTAAGGCCAAATGATGTTTGCCACACAATGGTTCCCTGCATGAAGATTTCACTGACTTATAGTATTAGTGATATACATATGTCTTATATCGTTGATACGCTTTGTTTTAACAAACCAATTACAACCCAGCTGCCACTTTATATTTCCAGCTCTCCTGCAATGCCTCGGCTTTCTGGGTCAACTATAACCACCTTCCAACGGCATCAGCACACGCCACGAATAATTATTATGCCGGTATCAAGGTGAAATTCCTTAATGCTTTCCTAAAACTATGTTAAAATATAGGCCTACTTCATTTGCTTAATTTTTTAAAACTTTCATTCACTGTTGTCCCGTGCGATTTAGATTTGGAAAGAAACACATTTGAATCCAGATTACACATTTAACACCAACTGTCTCTATTTTTGAGAGACATTCCATTTAACATTTTGAATATTATATTTGATGCTGTCATTCTATTCTGATGTCGTACCAAGTTATAGACAGATAAATACACAAACTTAAATGTACAAGCCGTAGTTGATTTCTAGAATCTATTCTCCAGCATCCGGAAGAAACATTTAGAAATTTATTTACCACTTTTTAATTTGTTAATGACATATAGGTTGTGGAAAGGACGAGTGGAACCACACCAAAAAGAATTGTGCTAGCAGAAAATAGTCCGCAATATGAGATTCAGGTTTACTCAACCATCCCTATTGCAGTCAACACACACGCGAGCTACATGCACACTGACGGCAAAACGTATGTCCAACCTCTTGAATTGAAGGTCGAGACTACAATCAAGGACAGTGTAATGTACAATGGGAGTCCGAAGGTAATTTCGTCAGATATTTTATCAGATATGCCACATTGTTCATTATTTCCAGCCAATCCTGGATAAATAAAGGTTCTGTTGTCTTTTATTTTTGACACCACCGTTCTGCCATGTTGTCACCTTGGTTATGAATTCAATGATTTAATTTACAAACGATCGTTTTCAGATTTACAACCACAACAGGGTTTTGTGTATTAAAAAAGTATTTTATGTAAATTGGGTTCTGTGGGATTAATACTTCTTAAACATTTTTCCGTAGTTTCTCTTACACAGAAAAATATGAAGTCAAGTCTTTTCCCAAAGAAAGGTCAACTTACAGTCATTCCATTACAGTTGTCGCAATCACATCATGTTGATGGAATTGATGGAACATAAAATTTTGTCATAGTGACATTTCATTCACCTACCAAAAGACTGATGTCAAGTTTTTTTCCATGTTTCATTTAGATGTTCAAATGTAATGTTTCCTTCACCGAGCACTCATGGGATGATAAACTAAAACGCGCGTATGCCTCGTCTACGCTGAAGATGGTGGCGCAGCGAGACGGTAGAAACGACGGTGCTAGGGACAGTGTTTCACGTCTGTTGAAGTTCCGACCAATGAAAACAATTCAAGTATTTCCACCCGCTCGGAGTATATGGCATGGCTATCAAATGGAGGAAATTCCGGTACGTTTAAGGGAACGTTTTTTTTTTCCAAATGCTGTATCATCTACTACCGGTAATTGGTTTATTTAGAATCGTTAACAATAACATATTTAAATATAAAACAGCCAATTGTTTCAAAAGAGGCGACATATCTAGATACCTAATCTGTAAAGAGCGCATCCCTGTGGAACAGGCAATTGGTCTTTTGGTATTTCAGAGTTGCACATGATATAGGGGCCTATAACAGCAGAGTTTTGTGTGAATTTATACATGTAGTTTCAATTCAGATCTATACCACTGACGTCGCCGACAGCGAATGCCATTCTTACAATGACCCTCGTATAGAAACGTTTGATAGACAGTGAGTATCAGATAGCATATAACATGCGGTATAGACGTATCATTTTTATCCCCACCGGCTTATACAGACGTTCTATAGTTAAGTACTTTTGGTTTAACGTTAATTTCATGTTTATTACATTTTATATATAGTATGTTATAGATACGGCAATGTGATAAAGATAGCAAACTCGCTAAAATATGAACTTAATATGAAAAAAAATGAGACTATGACATTTTTTTCAGTTCTTACTTCAGCCAGCGAGCAGGAGAGTTTGTTCTTGCAAAAAGCCAGACAAGGGATTTTGAGGTATATATCTCTACATTTCCTTAATTGCATAGCAGGTTGAATAAAGAAAAACTTGGTAAGTTCGTCGTAATATGTTTTTCAGTTATTGACTTTGGGTAAGGCAGCCTAACGGATTCATTAGACCCGAAGCTGAGAGTATTGACTGATGACGAAGATGAAATAGATTTTGGTTCCAACATGTATGAATAGAGAGAAATTGGCACGTACATATGCAACGTCACAAAACTGTGAATCGATCCTTCCGTTATACCCCCGTCACACTAGAGGCGGAATGAGCAAGAATGCCGTCGGAAAGACAATTTTTTGTGCGCTCTTGGATATTTGAAGAGCATTCTAAAAATTCCGAGTGCATTCTAAATATTTTTACCCATTCTTGTGGCATCCCTAATACTTTTGTCATGTCAAAAACTTTCGAAGTGCATTTCAAGTGGAAATTTATCGAATGGCATTTGAACAGTATTCTAACTGCACTATGACTGCATTCTAAATATTCTCACGGCATTCCGACAGCATTCGAAACATTCTGATCACATTAGAGGAATATTCGAACTGACAAGTGACTTAGAGCCCCCGTCAAACTTATTCGAAATCAGTAGGAATCAAACCGGAATTACTAAATTTCAAAATTCAGACGCCATTCTTCATCATTCCGCCTCTAGTGTGACGGGGATTTTATACTCCGCCAGAATGTTTCGAATGTGCCTCGGATGAGCTGAAATATTAATTTTGCCAGCAATCGAACTACACTAGTGCGCCGTTCAAAGTATATTCTAAATATTCTTACTGCTTTCTTACAGCATTATAAATATTCCTAGTTTTCCAACTACATTCGAACTGCTTTTGAGAGCTACACAGTCGAAAATGCACTCATCATTCCAGGCGAATTCAAGCGCATTCTGAGTATTCCAACGGTACTCTTACAATAATTAAGGTCAATTTGAATTTTTTCCCTCGAATGTGGTTTGAATTTTAAAAATTCTTCGTTCGGGCTCATTCTTCTTCATTCCTGCTGATTCCGAATAAGTGTGACGGGGGTATTAAGTCCTTATGTTATCTATTGTAACTTAACCAATGCAATAAAATCGAAATACCATGTTAACCAACGAAAACAGAGTTACTAAGATACAACTTTGGTTGATGATCATACATTACGTTGTATTTTCTTTTTTTCTTTCTTTTCTTTTTTTTTGCACAAAGGTCCAGGTACGGCACTGGAAATGTCGCAGCTACCAAACGTGTAACTGTGCCGTTGCAGCCCGTGAGAACAATGACGTATATATCTTGGATGTCTGTCACAACGTGCGTCAACGTCGGGCTGTAGTTCCACGCATATTGCGCCGGTCAGCCAACGACGAACCACCGGCAGATGGCGCTCACATCAAAAGCGACCAAAATGGAAGGAAATACATCGTATGTATATATAAGTCAGAAATGCTAATTCTAGGTGATGACTTCTCACTTTACTCAAAATATCGACATAAACAATGAAACTACTCGAATCGTTCTGAACTAACTAATTTACAATTCTTTCTAAGATTGTTTGCCTGTATTGAAGACATTATTATATGAATTATATGATTAAGGGATCATTCAAATAATGTCGTTCGCAGATCAACTTCCCTTCCGGGGCCTATGTCATCGTTGATATCCGTTATTTCGGGTTAAACCTGTACGTGCATGTCCCCAGTGATGACAGGGGCAAAATGGAAGGACTGTGCGGGAACAATAACGGGAATCGTAACGACGAGAGAAGAGATATCGACAGAAGCGAGTCCAGTTGGCATCAGAGATGGAGGTAATTGCTTGTGTCTACATTATTGTACAACAAGCGACGTTTGCCTTTATAACACAATTAAATCAGTGTTTTGTAACTGGTTGTTTAGATTGAAATGCTTTACATTCTTAGCATCGGTCAATGTTGTTTAAAGTGGACAGCGTTGCATGTGGTAAAACATCATTATGATATAACAATATAAATATAATTCATTATATAAATATAATGAATTGTAATATAACATTCTTGCGTTCATTGTGTATTACAACTTTTGAAAAGAATGAACTCTGTGCAGTAACAGTATTTACATGTTTTATGGTTAGCATATTTTACAAAATAAGATTATATGTTATTGTTGGCATTTATTATTATTTATTATTCAAAACACCTTTTCAGAGTCAAACCTGAAACAAACTATTTTAACAAAAGCCCAAAATATAAAGAACAGTCACAAGAACCTTTGTATTGCCACTGCCATAAGAACGACTCAGTGGTCGCAGACGCGACATACCTTAAGTGTGACTTTGACAAACGTGTGACACAACCAGACATTATCAACACAAAGACTTTAGAAAGGGTAGTGCCAAGACAAGTGGTGGCATTTCGAACCCTTGGCCGAAGGAAAACGCGTGATATTCCGGGAGCTTCATATACGGATGAAGCTAGTGACTACCAACCGTATGTGTTCACGTTCAAGGAAGACTACTCCAAGCCCGTAGTGAACCTAACTTGGCCAACACCAAGCGGACTCACCCAGGCCCAGGCCGCGCAGCTGTGTCGCGACACTCTTGCCAATTCATCGGTGGTGTACCTGTGCCAAGAGGTCCAGGGATTCGATCCGTTTGAAAATGTTCCAAAGTGCATTGACGACATCTTGGTGAGAGTCGGAATTGTGGCACATGAACAGTATCGGTGTAGAAATATTTGGTCATATCACGTTTTGTGGTCTTTTACGCCCTTCACAAATATCCTTATAGCCGTATTGGCGGAAGGTCTAGATGGTGATGTAACAACATGAATCCGGTGTCACAGGAATGGTAATCCTAGGAATGGAAGTCCGGGGTCCCAGGTTATGGTTTTTCGGATTGTTAGGGTTAGTATGTGGGACGAATGTCACCTGTACAAATTAATGGGGACCGGATTACGGTTCCTAGGGGACTACCGTGCCTGCCATACCGGTTAACCAGCCTTGCCGATCGCGGGCGTTTCGGTTATGTTCGTGTCCCTTTTAAGAAATAGCCAGGTTATTCTATTAATACTTGTCAACCTCCGTAAGTATTTCAATGCCGATATGCCTCTCATCATGAAAGGGCCGCCTTACTGTACAAAAAACGATATTCTTTGAAAAAAAGTTATCTGCACGATTCTGGTGCATTCAAATGGGTTGTAATTCAGATTCATTGCTGGTTTTACAAATGCATTGTTTAAAGTCGAATTCAATTAAATTTAAATAAAATATAAAATACACTTCGGTAATTCTATTGCTGGACCTTACAGGTCGCTGACGACATGGGATTTGCAAACGAGGCTGTCACAGAGATGGTGGACACATGCATTGCAACTGCAGTCAAAGAAGTTCTCCCGGAGGATAAAGACGTAGACTCCCTTGGACCGACAACAACAGCTGCAACACAAATTCCACATTTGAATATCGCCGAGTTAACGGAGAAAATCAAAACCAATGCGTGCCCTCGAGAGTGTAGTCAAAAGGGCAAATGTGTGGACGGAAACTGTGTTTGTGATGCGGGCTTTATGTCGGCAGACTGCTCCGTGAACTCGAACATTTCGCCGGAGATTACCGAGGTCCAGAATGCCGGTCTTTGTGACGTCCAAACGCGACCATGCCTCAAGTTCCGAGTTCTGGTTGATCCTGCGACACCAGTCACTCGCAGTGATCGCCTCTCCTGTCGGGTAACAAAAGCTCAGGTACTAAAATTTCTTGGTTTGCTTTAAATTAGGAATCTGTTTGCCATATTTGTAAATTAATATTTTTAATTTAATTGTTCCCGATCTTGCATACTGTGTACTGTTTTCTTTTAATGATCCGGCAGAATTTTTGCATATACATGTACACCATATTCATTTACACATGTGCACTATGTGTAAATGAATATGATAAACAATTACAATAGCAACTTTTCTTAACAATCTACCGGGTACGTTTATCCTTCTCAAAACCTTCAGATCGATATAAGCACGGGGACCTACACAATTCTGCCAGCAACTACGGGACATGCTGTGGCCGAATTCGTTAGTTTCTCTGAAGTCACGTGTCACCTACCACGTGATCCAATCATACCGCCAGTGACTATTACCGGAACAGCTGGTACGCCTGCGCAAGGCTTTCTCCTGTCGATCAGCAACGATGGTGTGAAGTTTGGGAAAAACGAAAGTTTTGTCACGTTATTTGACTCAGCATGTGTAGATTGTAAACCTTTTGGACAGTGCACGAAAAAGGTAAGTTTTTGTAGGTACAGCATATATACTGTAGTTAAAAGAAATGATATTTTCCCTAGTGCAATATAAATCTATTTTTGCAGACACCCTTGATATTATACAGTGTTGGCAAATCATGGCAACTAACAACATTCACAGTGCTTTTACAATGTCACAAATGTCATTTAAGTACCCATCTTTTTCTCCATACTCTATCGCTTAATCATGTATTATTCATTGCTTATTAATGTGCACTCGTACTCTAGTAGGCCCTAATATACATGTAATACAGTGCTCGTTTCCATAATTCCAATATACCTCAGTCACTATATAAATATTAGATATATAAATATATACAAATTGATGTGTCTTACGCTTATTTAGGAACTGTTTTTACAACTTAAGGCTGATAAGTTTGATAATTGTTGAAATTACAAGAGTGACAAATGGCTTTCAAACTTTCTGAGGTGTGCTACAATTGTATATGTACAGTTTATCTAAGTGTGTTGTATTTTTGTAGCGTGGAACGTGCCTAATTAACGGTTATTGCTACGAGGATGGTGATCGTAACCCTGCCAACTGGTGCTTTGAGATGTGCGACACATCTTTCAGCGAGTCCTCCTGGAAGCCGCTCAATCGTAAGTGTTTTTGTCATAGGTTTAGATATACTGGGTAAAGCAAATGCCAACGTTAACATAGACGGTCCGAGGCGCCAACTGTCACTTGAGGTAATTAAGATCTTGTAAGCATGCATTAGTTTGAAAAACATTATTTTTTTTAATGATGTACGTGTAATAAGAAATTACACTTGATTACAAATGAACGTAGATATTGGCATATATACATTATTCTTTCACTATGACAAAATTTATGGGTTTTTTATTCTTGCAGCGACCCCAGACTGCAGTAAGTGTTCTGGCCAACCTTGTAGTTGTAACAAGAACGGCTGGCGCTGTGACTGTGGTTCTGGCTTTGAGCGCGACAACATGACGGGGGGTTGCCATGGTGAGAGATAGCACGACCTATGAATTTATAGAGTGCCTTCAGGGATAATTCTTTCATCACAATTGCATATCACGTCAAAAGGCATACATGTACATAAAAAATAACATGTCGATCTTGATTAGGCCAGACACTGTATTGCGTTAATTGTCACCATTTTCTCGCAAGTCAAATTGTTTTTAAAGGAAGATGATTGTGAAATAATATTGTTACTTGCTTTACAGATATCAACGAATGCCTCAGCAACCCTTGCAGCGGTTATGACACGTGTTTGAACAGTAATGGGTCCTACCAGTGCCAATGTGAGTCATATTTCGTTGTATAGCTTTTTAATCTGTCTGTCCTTATTTCAATTTTACATTTTTTTTATTTTAGTTAATTATAGTTTCCATGTGAGTGTGTTCAAATTATGAATATTTCATGTTGTGCATTATGCGCATTTTTTGCCAAGAACTACATGTATGTATGGCTGTTTTATTTGGAAGTTGCCAAAATGAAACATGTGCACACCTAGTAAACATTTTAATACCAAGTACAGGTGCCAAAGGACTCTCCAAGAGGCTTCCACTGAGTGTTTTCAAACAATATTTCTTAAAAAAAAAAAAAAAAAAAAACAATCACGGTTGTGATTCTCGTATAAGAAATATTTTACATAACCATGCTTTCAAAACATCTTTATTTGATAAGAGCCATGCTATTAAAACTTATTACACCGTTTTTGTTTGTATTAAGTGAAAGCCATGCTATAAAAACATGATATTTATTTTTTATTTAATGAAAGCTCGTTTCACTGAAGATGTTCTTAACACCAAGTTTTATTTTAAAAGGGAGGGAATGCCCCCCTGGTTACAACAAGATAGGTTCCGGATGTTACGTCATATCAAGTTCAACAGCAAATCATCAGCAGGCTATCGACAGGTGCAAAAACCTTGGTGGCGTTTTACCAACTATTGAACGGAAGTCAGAATACAAAGCACTGGTAACAGCATTGGATAAGAAGAAAGAATACCATATAAGTATGGACATCTTCTATTTTAGTGGGCGGGTGGTTGACCGTAATTTGTATCCACTTCATTGGTTAAACAAGCGTTTTCTCTTAATTGGCCTTGATTAATAGTTAGTCAAACCTTGGGTCATACACTACTAGTATTTACACGTTTTCACTGTGAAAAGGAAATAGTATAAGTTACATTTTAATCTTGATATTCACGTGTTACACGTCTTGCATTACATTGTGCCAAGGATCAATTTTGACCTTTACATAGGACGCCATCTTTGTACGTGTTTCAGGCGTGAATGACATGGAAACTGAAGGCACCTTCCGCTACGGCAATGTGACGTCATCGGGCAGCGTGTTCACGGAATGGTTGCCAGGCCATCCGCTGACCGGATCCCAGGGAGACAGCGCGGATTGTGTGGTGATAAACGGCCCTAATGCGTTTATGTACACCAATGTTCGGTGCGACTACGTTGCATTTTATATCTGCCATGTTCCTGCGCAACGTAGACAGTAAGGATAGATTTTCTATCATAGAAAACTTTTATATGTGGATACCCTTTAGTTTGGATATTTGCCGAAAGTCACCAATCAGGTTCCGGTTATATTAGTGCGTTTTACAGAATTCATTATTTGCGCAATCTGGGGAAACAATACTGTTCTCAAGTTATCTCTTTAAATTAGTTTTTTATGCTTCCCGTCAATTACTGCTCTCTACAATAAGGGTGACATCAATCTCGAGTATTCCTTCATGCATATACAAAACAATATACGGCTTGAATTATTGTAAAGTTGAGCTTATGTAGACATTACCCACCAGTCAATCTTACCACTGTCGTTACTTTGTTAAAAAGAAAAGTTGTTAAATCAGAATTTAAGACATTAGGTAGATATGTGCACTAGTCTTTTAGACAACAAACAAGACTGGGCTATATAGCGTTCTTGTTAGCAATATATATATATATATATATATATATATATATATATATATATATATATATTTTTTTATAAGACAGAAAGTAATGGTCATTTAGTTGTTACACTCTTGAAAATTAAATTGTTCATGCATAGCACTAAATATAAAAACGGAATGCTTTCAAAGCAGCTAATTTATTTCCTTGCCGACGCGCTATGTACACTGCTTTCATTGCCTGAATTACATGTACGTCTCTTGACACACACTAAAATATTGGACAACAATCTTTATTCTTTTAGCCGTTGATTGTCAAAACAAATATGTGATACTATGCAATAGAAACATTGCATTTAAGGTAAAGTTTCAGATCTCCCATACATATATATTTGTGTTTAAACTGTGCAATCAAAACAGCTACAACTTTTGCTTGCAAAAGACCCAGCTATAATTACTATATGTGAATCTGAATGCAGTCTAAGACGGCATTCCCGACGCGTAGAATTTTACCATTATCGCTAAAACCTTAATCCCATACCTCACGCAAATTCTCGCACATTTTCTAGTCTTAATGTAGAGTTAATGCAGTGTCAACAACCGTGTATTGGCTTAATTTGGATGCTGCTCATTCAGCTGAACGCCGTACTCAGCGTTGGGATTGATTAGAATAGTAACATCACAGTAATGATATAGTATTTTCGTATTGTTATAAAGCTGAGCCGTCAGACTTCTACTGTTAATAAATGCAGCTTAGAGTCATGTAAAGAGATATCCAGTGTTAGAATTGCTTTGCAGGCACTTAATTTCTTGAATTTTGAAAATGATTGTATGTGCCATGCGCCATACGAAAGTTAATATACGCCAATGATTGGTCGTCTTGTCGGGATTTTCTACTTGGCGAGATTCGCCTTGTAACCCACACCATCAGCGTTGCGTTCCCCGGTCACATGTTGGCGCAGGAATCTGGTCAACAAAGTTTTATCTTCCTTTGGAATCTGACCCTTGTCAGCCAAGCAAGCGATGAAGTAAGGGATAAGGGAAGCGTGTTTAAGGACGCATTTGTCGGTAGTGTCGGCACGAGGAACCTGACTCTGCCCCTGCGTTGGAGCTTGGGAACGGCGACCAAAGAGAATAGGCGGCAATTTGGGGTTTCTAGCGCCAAAGAGGGCGCCTCCACTTGTCAGCAATGAGATACCGAAAAGCAGAACGACAATGAAGATGAACCGGCAGCACATGCTGATCTCTTGTATAAGGTACAATTTAACACGAGCTCACACCTGGAAAAAAGGAAGAAAAAACAGGGTTATAGAATAGTCGGATACCCGAACGCTAGCGGTCTTCAAATTAAGGACAAAGAGCTTTTTAATTATCTTACCTGCTGATTTTGATAGTGCTAATGTTAACACATTACAGGTATAAAATGATTTTGGTATATGGCTTGTTCCTTTTTCTTCAGTGTTTTGTTGTTTTATTGGACCTGAAGTATGAAACTCATTGTAGATTATGGGATATCTATTGTTACTCCACCAGTGCCCTCCATCCTTTTACACACCCTGCATAAAGTATGAACAGACACACCATATCTGGTGGCAATTTCGAGACATCTATACCCTTTTCCCTCAGAGTAACAGTTTATTTTCTGTCGTATTTTGTGAGCTCCCGTACCTTCACCATGGTACCTGTAGCAACTTCACAGCCAGAAGAGCGATAAACCTTTGATAGCACCATTTATAGTGCACATGGATGACAATTCACCACGACCAATAAACTATGAATCACTTTTTAAGAAAGAGCCGACCTCCGTGTCACATAGCGCACTGTTCACAAAGTTGGTACAATACCTTTATACATTTTTTTTTCTAAAACACGTGCTACAGTAACCTCAATGAATAATTTCGGCTATAAATAGCAGGTTGGTATCTATTTTGTTATTGCATTTTTATTTCAAAATGCCATTTCTTTAATGAAATTAAGCGTTTGCTATTTTGCTCTCCGATATTTTCTGTTTATTTTATGGAATAACATTATTCAAAGTATCGAACCAGTTTATGTCTCCACAAAAGGCAATGACAGACGCTTGCAAGAACACAGTATTATTGAGATTCCATTTAATTATAAAGCGAAAGGTTTGTTGGAATTAAAAAACACAGATCGGAGCATTTTTACCCCCCTCTGTGAAAGCAGAATTACCAATTGTTGTTCAGGATACTACAATGTGCCTTTCGTTAATTAGTGCATTTCAGTGACAAATTTTAATGAAGAGGTAACGTGGGAAATCGCTGTTACGTCAGCCTTATTCTAAGAAAAAGGAAGCGATGAATAATTACTTCAAAATCTAATGTTTGCAAGATTGCCAAAAGAATTATTTGGCACTGGCTGACCGCTAGCTGATGACAAATCTACAGTTACGTTGAAGGATTTAAATTAAAATATCATGACTAAGGACAACACTTAAAAATTAATTTTCATCTTAACAGACAACCCTGCAATGACAACATTGAGTACCAAGCAATAGCCTGCTGAATTTCACTAAGACAACCCTCATCTGATTGAGGAATTACCACAGAAAAATGAAACAAAGAAAAAAGTATAATCTTAATTATCTATCCTCTATACGGAGAAAAGAATAATGACACATTCAATATTACAGCACTCTACGCTCGATAATTATAGGAGTTACGGAATCCTGCCAAAGTTATTAGTATCCAGGGTCTCGGGGAGCGTGAGAAAGGAATACTTGATAAAATAAATGTTAAAACAATGTACTTTATTATTTAGTACACTACACTAGATAAAATAAAATGATAAGCTATCTTTTGTGACAATCAATCTACGACTCGAAGGCAGAATAAAAACGACCAAGGGCAAAAAAAACGCATCTTACTACATGGAGTATATCAGAAAGTTAGATTAAAATCATCCGCTACGTAACACAAGCTTATACCCCACCAACGATCCTGTTAGCCCTGAAAAGCCACCCTTGGAAAAGTTTAACTCACTTTTTGCTGTGCGGATATCTAGTATTCTTGCTACTTCTCACTTCTCACTTCTCCGCGTTTTCATCAACAACAGCCTCTTATCCAGGTTGTGCAGTCCTGTTTATAGTCTGGATTACGTCACAACTCATGACGTAAGCGGACCTGGTCAGAAACATGTGTATAGAGCATGTTTGGGTAAATTTTGAAGTTTTAAAGGTTAAACACTACAAATTTTGAGTGATATTGGTAAAGTGCTAATTAGCTGTGGTAGGACACTGAAAGATGAGATGGCCTCTTTGTCAATTAGCAAAAGTTTTACGTATTTGTATGATACACGATGTTCGTTCAAACTACTTCATAAAAACTCCATACTCCCTTATTTTTTTTCTGCTCGTCCTTTGTGATCATGTGTTTATTTAAGAATAAAATCCCTATTTTCCAAAATGATATTTTTTTCTCAGTTAGTTAAACAGTGATTCATTCACATGACACGTTAGAATCCGTTGCTAATAGATACATTCTAGCTTCATTGATGAGCGATTCCATATTTGCTTTTAATACTTGTTACAATTCACACAAACGAAAACTTTATAATCATGATAGAGGATTCAGTCCTCAGTTGTTGTAGTCTAACGGAAACGACCAGTGCTAAGGCCTGACCAGCCTATCCGCACATATTCACTTGTGCCGTGCTGAATTGGTCAACAGATATTTCCTTCAACCATTCCCAGGAAAACAGAATCGTCTACCAGTAACCTATTCCCCATATCCTCGCGCCACCTCGATCCACACAGCTTGCATCCCCACCCCCACCCCACCCTCACCCTCACCCTTACCCCCGGGCTATAAGACGAGACATTATGCCACACTTCAGTTCTATGGGACTTTATTTGACTTGAACAGAAAATGCAAAGACCAGTAACTGCGGCACAAATGTATACGTGCTCTTTCGCCCTGTCCAGATTTGTTGCCTCTTCCTATGCATTACTCAAGAATTTAATTCTCCATGCACTTCTGTTACTTGAAAATCATTCATATGGTCAGCTAATCAATGTTTCTTTGATAATTATTACAGCGATATGCCGGCAACATTGCATATTAAACACTAGTTCTTGACAGAAAGTCTTCCTCGAATCAAGGGGCCAGCGTTTGTTAATTAATATTTACTGGTGGCTGTAATAGCACGACAAGAGGTCCTTAAGTGCTAATCCTAAATTGGATAATAATCCTTAATTGGAATTTTAGTTGTACAGGCAGCAATGCACGCTTTCGTCCCCGAAGCTTTTATTTGCCAAACATTTGAGATACAACGGGAATTTTATGCTTAAAAAAATAAAATATACTTGTGTCAAAGAAAAAGTTCATACATGCCACGCTAGCTTAGACGTCATCAAATATAAACTGACATTTGGCAACTAGTGGGTTTGTACAGAACTTCTGTCTTTGGGTGCTTTCCCAGAGATTTAGATCGATCTTAAGATTAAGTTTTAGATTGACCTAACTCCCTGGGGGTTCAGGCTAAATTGCAGTCAGCCGAGCGGACACCATAGTTAATTACCCCCTTACAGCTTTTAGTAGGCGGGACAGATGCTTAAGCCGGCCAAGCTGACAGTAATCTAGTGAGACTCCCCCCAGGGATAGGGATAGATCGATCTAAATATCTATGGAAATGGGGTGTTTGACTAAGTATGTGTCCGAGAGCCCAGTATTTATCTGAATGCCCTGCATTTCGCTACCTATTGCGCTGACGACATAACAACTTGTCCAATTAACACTTGGAACCAGAGGAATATCCAGCAGTTTGTTAATGCGATTCATTATACTTTGATGTGATGTTTTAAAACATTTTCAAATGATCGACGGTGTATTTAAAACGCATAATAGTCCCCAAAACAATTAGATTTCAATCTGTTTTTACGAAAGGTAAATGATAAAGTGATGACGTTTGCATAAGTGTCGGTAAAGAAGTTGTACTACTACTCCACATATCTAGAAGCTTATACTATACACATACAAGTAGCAAGTGACTATCAGGTACAAAGTCTTGTCCTGTTTGTCCCATCA